GCCGCGGGCGGGGGCGCGCGGGCCGGCGTCTCCGGCTGCGGCGGCAGCTATGGCGGCGGCGGCCTCCCAGCGAGACCCGGGGGACTGGCAAGATTTCTCGGGCTTCCAGCCCTCGGCGGGGAGCGGCCCCGAGGCTGCCCGTGACAAAGGTGGCTGGGGCGGCGGCGGGGATTTGGTGGCGAAGTTGTCCCTCTGCTTTGAGCCCCCGCAGGCCCGGGCTGGCGGCGGCGGCGAGAGCCGCGTTCCGCTGCGGCCCCTCACGGAGCAGAGCGCCCTGCAGGACGACGAGTGAGTGCAGGCCCGGGGGTCGGGGGGGAGTCAGGGAGAGGGGGCGGCGGTGGTTGGGCCGCTCGGGGAAGCAGGCCTGGCCCGGCCTGAGGGGATGGCCGGGGCTGGGTGCGGAGGCGGCGGGCGGGCCGGTCTCCGTGGGTCACTAGCCCGGTCCGGCGGCAGCGCTGCCCCCGGGGCCTTCTGGCTTGGGCCTTTCTCTCGCCGAGTGCCAGCGGGGCTTGTGGGCTGCGGGAGGTGAAGCCTTTCCCCGCCCGCGGCGCCCTGCCTGACACCCGGCCGTCAGCTTCTATTTCCCTGACCGGCAGGGAGGCGTGTGCGCGTCCCAGGGCCTCCTGGGCGAGAAAAAGTTGCTGTTCCGAAATACGGAGTGACAGAGGGTAGTATTTGTTTAGCCTCTTGCAAAAATGCCCACTGTTTCAGTGTTTGAAATTAAGCGTGCAAAGTACAGAAAGCAGATGGAGAAGAGAATCTTGGTTGCAACTGGGATAATTGTTTCTTCCCTTAAGCAATAGCACCTTTTGATCTGTGCTACTTTCTTGTCTTTGACATTATTTTACAAGTATTCATATCTGTTATTTTATAGTAAATTTCAGTCTGCTTATCTTCATTAAAAATACTGCAGTTCTTCTTTTACTTTGAGGAAACTAAATAGTATGTCTTATTCTAAGCAAAATAAAAAAAAACCTGTTAGTAAAAGACTAGATATCTATGGTATAAACAGTGAGGTAAGTTCAGAGAACCATGAATCAGAGACATGTTGGGCAGTGATGAGGCTCTGTCTGCCCTTCTGTCTGGCTCAGCCATTCCTCTGAGCCTAGCTAGGCAACCGCTCCAAACATGCACCCACAGCATAGCGCTTAGAGGCAGGGTTTGTTAGCTGAGTTGAGGCAGGAACCTGCTAACAGGGCTGCTCTGTTCCAAAATCTGAACTGGTATAGCAGAATAGGGCTGCATATGCAAGCCGCTAGCATAGCTAGAGAGGTAGTACACTGTAGACACAATCAAGACCAACTGTAGACAAGAGTGGTGGGCTGAGCTCAGCAGGAGGGCTTCTGGATAAAGCAAAATTCTTGCAGAATTTTAGTATAACTTGTTCATTCTTGTGTGATAAATGGGAAGAAAGAAAAAAAAAAAGATTTGGCTCAGAATTTGCTACTCAGCCTTTGCTAATTCCTGGTTTTAACACACAAAAGGCAAGGAGAACAGGAACAACACTAGGAGAAGAATTTATAGCTGAGCTCAAATTTTGTTAAAGGAAGGACTCATCCACCCCCCCATGAAGATTTTGAGTATGATTATGTAATTAGTAATAGAACTCTCTCTTCATCATATTATTTCATCACTGTGTATATATTGATGGTTTAAAAAGGGAAGTAAATTTTATCAAAAACGTTTTTTCTTAGCTTCAAAACATTATAAAAATATTTTCAGTAACTTGTAAATGAGTATTTAGGGATGAAAAGGTATTTGTTGATAGAAACCTATTATAATTACAAATATGTTTACTGCTGATCAGTTCCTGCTTGTTTTAAGGTCTGTGGTTTTGTTCTTTTATTCCTCTCTTCAGGATTTGGAATGCTTTGACTGATAATTATGGTAACGTAATGCCTGTTGACTGGAAATCTTCCCACACCAGAGCTTTGCACTTGCCAACACTGAATCTTTCAGAAAAAGGGGTAAGTTCTGATCAGCAGAAATACCCTCTTTGGATCTTTTATACTCAGCAGGGAAATAAAACAATTTGCATTTGTATAAAAGAGTGTTATTATTAAATAGCTTAAAATATTTTTAGTACTTGGAGGTACATGAGAGGCTTTTAAAAATCAAAAAGTCAAACGTGTTTGATATATGTTTGCATGTCCTTGGGTTGGAATAATTCAGGGTTAGTTTTAGATGGATGTTCATTGGAACCAGAGAACAATAGAAAAAATTGTAAAATGAGAACGTGTTTCACATAAAATCTTTCTGCTGTCTGTTTCATGTTGAAAATTATTCTGGGTAAGGGAGGAAAGAGGCAGGAGTATTCTGATGTAGTAAATCCAGTGTTGACTTTTTTTAAGTTCATCTCATTCTGTATTCAGGTGACAATTGATGTGGCTTCTTTTGCAGGAAAAGTGACCCAGGAGACACTAGAGTGCAAGAGTTTGTTTTGTTTTGTTTTTCTTATTTAACAAGTAGAATAGTTGTCTGGGGAGGGAGCAGAGAATGAGAATGAAGAGCTTCAGAGAGCTTTACAGAAAGGGTTGTCCTCTTATCTTCTTAAAAGTAGATTAAAACGCGTCAGGAAGAAAAGCTAGGAAGAATTCTCATCTCCCATGTCTTCTGAGGAAACCAGTGGCTTATCTTTTAAACTTAGTGAAGTTGAATCATGTTGTAAAAATACCTGTGTGTGTAACCTGGGACTAGGGTAATGCTTTGACTTCTGCCATCCATTATATAATCCACAGCTACTTTTTACTGTGACAGGAACAAAGATTGTTCTGCTGAAGAGGATACTTTGGGGTTCAGCAGGGGAAGATGGCAACTTGGAGCTTTCTTGATTTGAGTCTGATGATTATGCCTTGAATTTGACTTGTGTTTTAGAGTGTTTGTTCAGATTTTCTAAGTGGTTTTAGAGTAATTAAATCCTTACATTTAAAATGAAAAGACTTATGACCCCCCCATGCTGTGACCTAGTTGTGTGACTGAAAAATGGACTAGAAGGCCAATAGATTCCTTGATAAGGAGCTGGGTACAATATAAACAAATGTTTTTTATAGTTTTTTTAATTCTTTGCAGGAAGTTATGAAGGAACTGCATAAAAAAATATAAAGCGGTGTTGATGGATTAGAAAGAATCAGGTATGCTGCCAGTAAAAGGAGAATCAGTTTATAGATTAAACATATCTCAAGTTTTTTTAGCTTTCACTCCACCTGGCATGTCTTTTAATGTGTAAAGCCCATCTGTTAGGGAGTGTTTGACATACTTCTTTTCTACTTCTCTGTGTTTCAGAATTATTTCTGGATATGCGACAGCACATATGGACCAGCTAGTAGCTTGTTTTAACTTTCTTACAATGAATACTAACAGCTAAGCAACACTTCCTTAATGCGTTTGAAACTAATAATATGCTGTTGGACTTGTGCATAAAGTATTTCTCTTCCTGTTTTAGTAGGAAAAAAGTGTAAGGTGAATGAGGCTGATTCATCTAATCTCAGTTGTTTCACATCACAGATCCATGAACGCTTTTATGCAGCTCTGATGGTAAAAGAAAGAGTTGGGTAGAAGTGTTGTACAGTGGTACAAAGAACAGGATTACGCAATTGGTTGTTTATTCTATTTTTGTTAGATTACTTTTAAGCAGGTTGTTCCCTGGTAGGAGTGTGAGGACAGAAAAAGGCATGGAGCATGGCTGGGTGGAAGGCCAGGTGATCCTTTTGGCATCAGCTCTAGCTTGGGCTGCTTTAGGTGGTTTATTATCAGAATATACTTTGATAGTCTCTCATACTATTGTTTCTGGAGATGTCAGGAAGGGAAGCTGACCTTCTGGATAAACTGTTATACTTGCTTACTATCCCTTGGTTTTTGTCATAATCTTGTATACATGGAAAAACATTTGAAGACTGCAGACTTAAAGGAATGTCAAAACTGGGATGTACCTGTGTGGTAGGTGAACAGATTTTCTTAGGGAACCCTGTCACTGCATAATTACTGGAATTGAGATTCTGGAAAAAATTGTGAACATTTGACTTCATTCTGACGGCTGAAAAAATGCAAATTTTATGTTTCCCCCTGTAGACTGTAGCTATCAGGGGATATCAGTAGCACCTTCAAAATGAATCTGAAAAATATTAAGGTTTCTGAAGAAACTGGGAAAATCAGAGGGATTACAACATAAATTGAAAACTCATATGATGAGACCAAGGACTTCATACAGCTAGTCATAATGCTTGTAAAATAGCCCAAAGATCAGTTAAAGCAATTGAGCTCAAAATGTCAAAGGTTGAGGGTTGCAGCTTTTGGGAGCTGGGGATCTTTTCTAGGTTGGTGTGGCTGGAATCTAGTAACAGACAAAGTGCAGGAAAAGCAAACAATTTTGTAAATAAACTAGAATATATCACTATATGAGAGTAAAATACATGTAAATCTTTTCTTTTACTATATGTCCACCTTTGGATTTGAAGGATGAGTATAATTTGATGGTATATGTGTGGGAACAGCATTACTTCTGTTTCTTTTTGATAAGACCCTGAGATATTCAAGGATATAATTTTAAAATAATCTACAGTGATAACTATGTTCTGTTTTTCATGTTTTTTATTATGTGAAAAAGTAGAACTATAAAAGCACGTAAAATAACACATTTGTGTAATGTTAGAGATTATAGGTAGGTTTTCACCCCACACTGACAAATGTCTGATTTCATTTAAGATTTCAGTATCTACATTGGACTGACTGCCTTCCGTGCAGATATCTGCATGTCATTGTGTATATGATCTTTATATGGTGAGGGTATTTAAAGAATGTAAAGACTGACAGCTGTTTTAACTGTCTCCAGTTGCAGTTTTGATTTAATTTGTTAAGATACTACAGTTTCCACGTATTTGGCAGCAGGAATCATTGATTCCATTTTTTATGGGCAAGGAATCAGTTTCATTCTTAAAATGCAATATTAGTTCCCGTTATGTTTTTTATATATGTACATGTATTTTTTAGATACATACACACACAAATGTGTATATGGATTTATATAAATATTGTCATCCTTTCTAGGTAAATGATAACTTGAACCTTGATCTGTCAGATGACGAAGAGCTGAGAGAACAGTTGGATATGCATTCTATCATTGTTTCCTGCATCAATGATGAACCACTCTTCACAGCAGAGCAGGTAAAGCGTTCAGCAAAGGCAGTGGTGTTGATGTGGTATTTTCTTTTAGTCTGTAATTATTTTTTGTTCTTCTGTCTTGCTGTTTACCATAGCTATGCTTCTTGATTGTTCTTTATTTATGGTCATAATAATGTGTGAGATATTACTAAGTCATTAAAATTTGAAAAGTATTCCAGTGCTTCAGATTAGGTTGATAGTCCAGGGTCTTTGAAATCTTTATATATTTGTTACCATGAATTAATCAGAAATACTACCTTGAAAGGGTATGCTTACTCTCAGAGAGCTAGGATGGGGAGGAAATGTCAGTATGATTTTGTTGATTCTCCTCAATCCAGTCTTGGTATTAGTTTCATCTGGCAGCATCTTCGCTAATTGAAAGTAAGAAAAAAAAACCCTTAAGCTCTTAGCAGCTTTACTTCAAATTGCAGGCTGTTTCTCTTTGCACGGGAGATTTTTCATAAGGGTTTTCATTTTTTGAAGGTGATTGAAGAAATAGAGGAAATGATGCAGGAATCACCTGATCCAGAAGATGATGAAACACCCACCCAATCAGATCGGCTCTCCATACTTTCCCAGGAAATTCAGACGCTCAAGAGATCCAGTACCAACAATAGCTATGAAGAGAGTAAGTGGTATTTATTTAGTATTTTACTCTTAACTTTTATTGAAGATAGTTTAAAGGGTAAGTTTGCCATGTGTTTGATTTATAGCAAGACGTTCTTATGAAATACCTGCATTCAAAAATATTTTCAAAAATGCCCTGAAAGAATAAACTAGGTTTAGAACTTAAATAGAAGACTTATCTTTGTCAGCTTTCATAACTTAGAATAAAAGTAAAAACTTTATAGAATTTCAAATTAAAGTAAATATGCTAAAGCTTGATTCACTGGGATGAGGTCCCTTCATAGGTAAAATTATAGGTCAGTCATTTTTATTAAGGTTTATTAATTTCTTTTTTAAGTTTTTTAAATTGAGACACTTTCTTGAGACCAGTACACTGTGTTTTAAAATTAGCTAATGTTCTTGAAAGCTATGCGGTGAATAAAGCAAATGGTGTTTCTTTGGTACTGTTTCAGTCAGTACAACATATCTTGATTCACAGTAACACAAAAATAAGGCAACTGTTGCCCTTTTTTTTTCCTATAAGGACCTTACATATTCCTCCCCGCCCCCCTTCCACTGCTCTTCAAAAAGCCTAAAAGTTTCAAAAAAACTCAAATGAAATATTCTTCCCTGTACAAAAGGAGAGGAGAAATTACATGTATAATTTCACTGTAGTAAGTTGACCTGTGTGTAAAAGAAACCTGTGATTAACCTTTTTGTGATGCAAATCTGTTTTATTTGGGTACTTATCCAAATCAGTTCTAGAAGACGATAGGAACAGAAAGAATATTTGGTAGATGATCCTTCTACTTTGGTCCCTCTCACAAAGTTTGGTGCTTTCTTTGATGTGGTCTGGCTCAGCAATATAAATTCTGTAGAAGATCCAGAAAACTGGATGGTGGCACTGACCTTTGGTGACATGACTTAGAGTTTCTGCTAGACTTCAGATTTATGGAGGAGATTCCATTTTCATGGTTGAACTGTTAGCTGTCTCAACACATAAATTTCAGGAATGTGAAAGCAAAGTATATCCTGCACAGCAGGGCTTCCTACTTTTCTGACAGTTCCATATGTCCTTAGGTTTGGATCTAATCAAGCTTGCTTGGTATTTCATATCATATTTATTTTGCTTTGCCTCAGGAGTTCATCTTGTCTGTTGCATCCTCATGGTTTAAAGGTTAGCCTTGACCAAATGATGCCTTGAGTTACTTTGGCAGATAATTTAACTTTGCTTCACCAGCTTCTCAGAATCTGCTTTCATGTCTTTCCTGTCACTATTTTATCAAAAACTCTTGCTACCTTCTTTTCTGCATCAAGCTACTTCAGAATTAGTCTGCATCTCTCTGAAGTTATTGCAGAGTTTTGCTAGAATCTGTCTGGCTTTATAATACAAGTCAGAGGTGCTAATTTTTAGGATTGAGAGCAGGAAATCCAAGCTTGTATTGACTTTTTTCTTGACTAGGAAAAGACTTGTATTAAGACAATGTATTTAAAAATAAAACCAGTTACAGCTCTGGTTACACAGGTGAGTCCTTTAGCCTATGTGTCTAAGATTTATTACAAGTAATTTTCTGCATTTGAATTACTCTGACTTCTCTCACCTGTGTCAGCTGAGTAGTTCCTGTGTAGCCCTTTTGTAGGCTTTGGTCACAATAACTGATCTATCATAAACCACTCAGGATTGCAGTTGGGTAGTCTGCTCCTGTGTTTTTGGAACAATTGTTTCTTAGGCTGTGAAGCTGGTTCTTAAATGTTGGGACTCTCTAGTGCTCTGTCTAGTCTTCTTTCACAAAAAAAAAATAGTGGTGCAACCTATACTTTTTAGACTGTGGCTTGTACTGAATGCATATGGAACTTACTTATATTAGTTTTTACTACAGAGTATGCTCGGTTTCACAGACTGTAATGCCTATGCTGTTACTTGCACCCAGAGAGCACCAGATAGATAATCTTGTTGCTGAATTTACTGTTCTTCCCCCTGCTTAAGTTTGAGTTGATGTTGCTGTTTGCTGTTGCTGACAACCAGAGTTGACTTTGCAAAAAGTTATTGCTGTGGCAAGACCTACTGTGGTACGTGCAATGACTGTGAGCACAGCCAAGATGTGTGCTAAAGTAGAGGCATACTTAGAATAGCTTAAGCAACAGTATAAGTGATGGATGGTTCAGACTATTTGAAACCTAGATCCTTAATCATGTAGTACTGTTAGATTGTTTGAACAGAGTTTAAGACCTTAGCTATTCTGAAAAACTGTGGCTCATTGCCAGGCAGTTACCTTTACAGGTTGCATTGCTTTTTCTTTAGTAAATCAGTGATGAGGAACTTTCTCCAATCAGTTTTCCCTGCTGTACTTTAAGAGAGAAAATCACATTTCAATTTGATACTTCTGAAGATCTATACTTTTTTGTGATTCGTGGGCTTATCTGTGTTTTTCAACACTTGTCCATAGGCACTTTCACTTATAACAGTTTTTTTAGACATAAGATTTACTAGACTAATTTGATGTAACCAAATAATCTTCAGTGTCCTTAAATAGATTGTACTCTTCAGTGTAACCAGGGCTAGCCATTTCTCAAATGCCAATGAAAATTATGTTCTTTGACATAGCAGATGCTGGACTAGCTTCTTGGGTGTGTCAGACATAATTGGGAACGTCTTCATTGTGCTCACTTTTAACCCAAGCAAGCCTTAAAACATTCTTCTTGGTCATAATTTCACTATCTGTAGCACATGACCCAACAGTACCTTTAAAATGCAAACCTGGAGGGGTTGATGATTGTGTCAGAAAATATGGAGACCTTTTATTTTGAACAGTGAGTGTAGATGGAAATTCAGTATTAGAAGTTTAACACCTACTTCAGCTTCCTTAACTGCAACGTGGTCTTCACGTTCGCAGATTATTTCAGATTTCTCACAAATAGGATGAAAGCTTGACAGTCTTCTTGTTGCTAATGTAGTTGCCTCTGTGATGTGTTTATTCTTTCAGGAATATTGTTTTGTTCTGTATAATTTTAGAATTGAATTTTTTATTTTGAAAAATTTAAGAGTACTTTTTTCTTGTAATTCCCACAAGTATTCTCATGCGTAAAATCTTGACAATTTACTTTTTATATGAACTATTTATAGGAGTAAAAAGATTGTCTGTTGCTGAGCTAAACGAACTGCTAGAAGAAATTGAGACTGCTATTAAGGATTATTCTGAGGAACTGGTACAGCAGTTGGCTCTACGAGATGAGTTGGAGTTCGAGAAAGAAGTGAAAAACAGCTTCATTTCTGTCCTCATTGAAGTACAAAACAAGCAGAGAGAACACAAAGAAACAGCAAAGAAGAAAAAGAAGCTGAAAAATGGTAGTCCTCAAAATGGCAAACAAGAAAGAGGTCATATGCCTGGAACAGTAAGAAAATTTTTATAACTATTTACCCATTCAAAATAATTTTTGGTGCTTTTTTTTTTTTTTCCTTATGGGAAGTAGTAGTCATAGATTATATCAGGATACCTGGTACACCTGCTTCCCTGCCTTCATTTGCAGACAAGTCTTAGGCGCTTCCGGTGGAGATTATTTTTTTTCACAGTCACAAAAAAATATTGTCTTTGGATGCACTGTTGTATGTTCTGTTGTCAGTAGGCAAACTCATGTATCTGTTTAGTTTCACTGTGTAATTTTAGTATGTGTGTACCACCATTAGTCTTACAGGAAATGCAGTATTATTGTTGGTCTGGTTGTACAGATATTTATTGCTATGTTTGTATCTAGGTAGGGAAGAAGTAAAAGTCTTACCCTCAGTTTCTTGAAACCTGTGGCAGAGCTGCTATGTCCAGCAAGAGACAGGGGTGAGGCCAAAGTGTAATGCGGTTGTACAGGGAGGAGATAATTTGGTTTCTTCTTCACAGAACATAGCAATAAAAGGAAAAATGTCTTTCAAACAGAGTTTGAACAATAGGAGGCAGAGAGTGAAAGGAATTAGGTTATTATCTTGTCAGTGCAATTTTGTTTTCTTTTTTTACCTGTCTGGTGTAATTTTAAATTATTTAAGCGGGATATCAATGTAAGAATTTTAAGAGTCTCTTACAGGATGTACAAGTGTGGTTAATGGATTGTAGGTCTTGGCTAAGTCCCAGAAAGAATGCTTCAGATTGACATCAGAAGGTTTTTGGGTTTGTTTTTCAAACATAAGAAATAAGCATTTGTAATGAAATGTTAATTCTTCAGATTCTACTTCTAAACTTACAAGAATAAGATACCTCTGATATAACTCAGTGGAGTTCTGATCTTGTCCATCTAATGAAAAGTCACCTTTTGCTTACATAGCTAAGTTCTAATGGAATTCTGAGAAAGTATATGTTTGGAAAACAGTTCAAAGTTGCATGACTTTGCAAGAGCAGAGTGAAAAGTTCAAATTTTAACTAGAAAGAAAATTAATTATTTGGTTTGGAAACTGGAGTCAAGTCGTTCATAAGCTGTTCTGGTCAGTTTCAAGTTCAGAGTCTTGAATGATGCTTTCAAGTATAACTGTATGTGATCCCAGTATAAGACATTTTCATATTTGGTTGCTTTGAGATATAGATGTGTCAGATTGCTTTCTGAGAAGGATTGAACAAACTAGCTCCCTAGTAAGACTGTAGGCTGTGTATGTGTGGTTCCTTTGAGAAAGTGGCTTTCACTATCACCAACTACAGGTTTGAGAGCCTTCTCCTAGAAAGAGGTGCTAGCTTCTTTCCGTCTGTGTTCCTTTTTATTTTTTTCTGATTTGTCTTTTCTTGTTTTAAGGAAGTGCTGAGAATGTGCATAGATAGTATGTTCAAGTAACCTTGTGAAGAATGAGTTTCTGTTAATAATATATAAATTAATAATTTTATTAACTAAAACTATAATGAAGTCTCATTTAAATACAAAGCTTGAAAGTAGGGTTAAATTTTCTAGTCTAAGAAAATCAATTCTCCTGTAGATACTATAATTAAATTTTAATAAATAGAGGTTTTAATTCTTTGTGCTTGATACAGGCTTTGGGTAAATCACTTTCTTCTACTTCTAAAACTTTTACATCTCTCACAAGGACACTGGGTAGTAATTAAAAATAGTCAAGGCTTGAAGATACCAGTTCTTTTAAGTAGGATATCTTAAAAGATTTAAGATGGCTTGGCAACATCTGTGTCTGTTTACTGACCTCATTGCGCTTTAGAAAGCAAATGAATACTGTATTCCAGCACATTTTATTCCCTCACCCATAAAGAAATACAGTCAGGTAAGTGTGCTGAGGTGTGGGCATCCTACTGCCCTGTGTCAGCAGCTTGACAGTTTCTTCTTTTGGTGTTCTTGTCAGTTGCTGATTCTTGATCTCATGCTACACATCAAAATTGTTTTGATTTTTTTTTTTTAACTTGTCTCCAGCAAGCAAAAAGGATTACAAAGTTTAAAGAAAAAAATGTGGTTGGATTATACATTACTTTTTCTGTACTTAGATTCCATGTAACAGAGCTGGAAATTAATATGGGCACATTAACTAATCGTGTATATATTGTATTACCAAAAAAATGGGGAATACAGATAGCTATTTGTTTCAGTTGTGGGAAAGTAAGCATGAAAGCATAATATGTTTTAAAGAGGTAGACCTGAAAATTACTATCTCTGAACAGTGTTTTTAGTAGGTGCTTAAAATCTGAAAAACTGGTACCAGCAGTGTCTCTAAAAGTACATTGCTCAAACACAAGTTTTAAAGGAGATTTTACTGTGAACTAACCTTTCAAAAATACTATTTTTTACATTTCAAAATGAAACAGCCTTAAAAGGCAAGTCTTCATTATTGAATCTGCAGCGTGAAGATTTTGTTTGATTAAATTTTGATGTACATCTACTTAACTGCCATCATAAGGTTTGCTTTTTAATTATAGAAAATTAAGTATATGAATGAAAAAATAGAAATGTGCTGAAATACATCTTAGAGCTTGTCTTTGTCATTCGTCTTTTATAGTCTTGACAAATGCCAATTAATAGTCTTCTGAACTTTTCTCTGTCCCTTTTTTTCTTTCTGCTATGTTCTCACTACTTTTAGCGCTTCAGCATGGAAGGGATCTCAAATGTCATACAGAATGGCTTCCGCCACACGTTTGGAAACTCAGGTGGAGAGAAACAGGTGCTGGGCTCTCTTCTCTCTTTTCCTCATTGTTTGCCTGCACTTTCGGTAGGAGCTGAGATCTTGAAAACAGACAGTAGTTGAAGATAAATGCTGAGACAGGAAAAAAATAGGGCAAAAATGTTGGAATCTGTACTCCCCCTGCCTCAGAACTCTGAGCAGCCTACAGTCCCTTTCTCTCCTCGACAGCTCGTGACAGTCAGGACTTGATATGCTGATGCACTGAAATAACAATGCTGACTTCCTACCCCAGACTAAAAGTCTGTTTTGGCGTAATGCATGCTTCAAATACATTGCCTGTCTGTAAAAATCTAATATACAATTGAAGAATACGTGTCAAGTTAGACATAACATTTCAGCCTTCAGCATTAAGGACTTGGGTAATATCTCCAACTGAAAACAGGTTTTGTTTTCTTTTTTTCTTCAGTGTTCAGAGCTGATCTATCTAAAAGCAGAGTAGCATCTCGAAAACGCATCGACTCTGTTGTGTGTCTTTTTGCCTTTGGAAACTGTGTGATGTTAAAAGCTGCCAAATGTGTGCAATGCAGATTACTGATGTAAAATAAATAAGCCATAGGCAACTTTGTGCCTTTTCCCTGACTATTGAATGTTGAAATATACAGCACAGAGGCCCAGCTTCAGTGGTTATTGCTGTAGATGTCACACTTAAGTAGCACGATTCTTATGCTTTATTTCGAAGTAATGCTTAATGGTTTGTTTCAAAACTGTAGTATGTATCTTATTAAATGCATTCTGTATTTTGGTTAATGCTTATACTATTCTTTAGGCTTTTGGCACGTTACAAAATATTGGGGTTTCACCTTATTTAATTCATACCCACCCATTATAGTTCATGCAGTTGTCTAAGGAGTGCGTTAGATTTTTATTTTTTTTTCTGGTTTCCGCCCTCCACCTGCTTCCAGTGAGAAGTCCATTGAGGCAATAAAGTGCCGGGTAGTTTAGAAGTCCTGGCTGATTAGACTTTTGTCTGGAAGATGACTGGATTATCCTACAGAGGAGTTCAGGAGGTAAATCAACTCCTCCCAAGTCAGTTCTGAATCATGAGGTTAGAAATGACCTTACAGTCTTTCTTAAGCAAGGTACAGGTATGAGAGTTTTTGAATACATAGATTCAGCTGTTTCTCTGCAGCTCTGGGGATCTTGGAAACACACATAGAGCTTACCTAACAGAGTTTTTATCACTCTATGTTATCTCAATACTGGTAAAGCAATAGATGTGCTGGGGATTTTTCTTTGCTATCTTTACTATGTAATAATAAATTACAGCTGTTTACCGGTATCTCTAGCTATTTTAAATATCATGTAGTTTCGTAAAGTGGACATACTTAGTTATGCCAGCCCTTCTTACTTTTGGTTAAAAGACTTCTTTTTTATGACTATCTCTATTCAAATACACTTTTTTTTTTTTGACTGCTTCCTGACTTTCTAGACATAAGTAGCATAATCATGTATTAACAATAACACTGATTGGATAACCCTTCCAGTTGTTTTTTGAGGTAGTTTACTAATGTTATTCTTCATATTGATCATACTTTTCCCCTGATCTATCTTATACTATATCCTTCTTAGCAAAGTTATGGTTATTTTTTTTTTCCTTCCTGTGTCCTAAAGCCAATTATGGAAATAACAAGAACTTAAAATGAAAAATAGGATAGGAAGGTAGGAGAGATACCAGCTCTGTTCTGATTTAGTTCTGGAAATGTATTTTTCTATGGCGTTAATTTTTTGGTTTGTTTTTTTTCAGTTGTTGTCACATTACCAAACCTGGCCCCGCTTTTAAAATTTTGGTATCATCATGTTATTGCAGCAAGTTGCAAAGGAGAAAAAGTATCAGATGCTTAGTTGCTTAGTGCTGCTCTCTGAATACTCATTTCAGTGTTTTTTCAGGGTTTATTTCATTATAAACTCACATTCAGGTGTTTCCTGCTAGCAGGGAAGAGTCCTCTTGTGTGTGTGTGTGTTTGAGACATAAGTGAAAATTATTTGGAATTTTTCAAGGTTTGGAGAGAAGTTTTCAGTGGGAACTACCTGTTCCCATCTGATAATGCAGTTGGAAAAAACACCAACTGCATAAAAGTCATGGAAATATTGGTAGTTCGCTATGTGATGGTATTCCAAAAGAAAATTCAAGATGGTCATCATAATTTTGATTTTTATGGGTGATTACAAATAGCAGTGGGAATTGCTGTTTACCATATTGTCTAATCTGATTCAAAAATTTAGACGTCACAGTAGACTTAACATTTGGGTTTGTCAGTAAGCTGCACTCTAGTCCTTTTTTCTTCCTTTTCATAATATGTTATATTATGTTATCCTTCACACAGCAATTCAGGGAATGAGTTCTTATGGTGCTATTATAGAGACTTATTGTTACAGCAGCAAAGTCTTGTTGAGGAAAACAAGATGATTTCTGGAAACTTAAGAAATTATTTATTTATTTAAATTATTATTGTTACTATTAGGGGGGGAAATTGGAAGGTGGAGTTTACAGAAGAAGGAAAACAGGGAATATTGGTATTTGGCGCAGTGAAGCATGTCCTGCTAATTTATTGTCTAGATGAAGGGTAGAATGCCACTTCATTCTGAAGGCTGGAAATGACAGCCTGAGATGTGATTTCTGAGTTAGTAGATCTACTTTTATCTCTCACATTTGCAGATTTAACAGCCTTAGATATAGCTATTGGTTCTGGTAATTTTACTAAGAGTGCAGTTATCTAATGATACCTGTTAGTTACATCTGGTGGAAAAGAAATTGAAAATTGGCTGTTTCCTAAGAAGCATCAAGATATTTTCCTCTGCGGGGCTAAGTGGATGTGAAAAAATGCAATAGGAAAAGGCAGGGAGAGAAGCACCCTGAGTCTCCATAAGGTACAGTAGGTTCCCTTAAGTGACACGGAACTGAGTCCATCTGGCATTTAGGCAGAGGATATGGTTGGGTGTGAGGTGCATGATCCCACTCTAAACATGGCAATGGTTGTAGCTGCATTTGGCAACACTGAATCTCCTTCTGCAAAGTGAACCTCTTTACCAGAGTCTGAGTTACACTTGACTCCTGCTGAAGTGCTGTTACTAGGAGAGAAGGAGACCTTGGACATAATGTGCTTTCTGATTGTTAGGTGGAGAACCACGTCTCTCTCAAGTTGAATGAGAGACAGAGGGTTGCTTTGCCTGCTGCCTTATAGCTGTTAACCCAGAATTAAGTTCCTGTGAAATTCTTAAAAATTGAATTGAGGGAGATTTCAGGAAGCTTTTTCATTAGGGAGAATTCCAGTGATTTCTGTACTTTTGAAATGCTAGTCTCTTTAAGAATGTGCATTCATGTATGCTGCAAAGCAAGATGTCACCCAAATGCATTGAATAAAAGAGCAAGAGGGTTGCTTCAAGAATTTGAAAATAAATCTTGGTTGCACTGCAGGTATGAAAATTTTGAAAGATTTAAGACATTTTTGCCTTTTTGGTTTTTTTTGAAGCTGACAAAGATTTCAGTAAAGAGTAAATAGAAGAAAAATGGCATTGATTTGAAACAGTCTGTTGTAACATTCAACTATTAAAACTGGGAATTTAAATCAAAATCCAAATGGTGGGATCTTACGTTTAATTAGGCTTGCTTTGTTCCTTTTGGTTGGAAGTGCATAGCGTCAGAAGGCCAAAGTTGCCTGTTTTAATTTTCACCTATCTATGGGGCAGCCCAATTTTCTTTGGACAGAGGACTGTAGATCACCTTTGGGTGACTGGAACTGGGCAATGCTCTTTGATCTGTCAAAATCCTTGGAAAGTTTCACATTCTTAGTAAGAGTTAACCCGTCACTTGGAAAATCCTAAGGCTGTTTTGAGGTTGTCCAAACACAGCATATCCTGAGTATGAAATTTTTTTTTAATTATTTATTTTTCCAAATGCTCGTTAGCACTTCTACAAACCTGCACACTCAAGTCACCTGCACAACTGCTATCATTTGTACTCTGGAATCTTTTAAAAAGCTTACTGTTATCAGTTTCCCAAATTATTTGAAGGCAATATCAATATTTACCTGGAAAGATTTATTTTTTTTTAATGTACTTCCTGGAAAGAAAGAATTACTTCCTGGTTTTTGGATATAACTGGTGACACTTGCACGCTATTTATACTTTTTTTTTTAAGAACAAGTTTGAAAATTGTTCTTCTGCATTTGTAGTGTTTGAGGGGGAACTCATGGGAAGATTGTTCTTCTAGCTTTTGTTTGGTTGCAAGAGGTACTTTCAATATATGAAGGACTTCTATTGACTCCTGGAGGGAGAAGAGGAAAGATTGTACTATTGACATGCATAGGCTCTGGGAAAGAAACCTATCAGATAAAGTTTTCACTCCTAAGAAGCTCAAAATTATTAAATACTTTTTTTGGCATTTAGTTGCACAACTTCTAAAGTAGTCACATAGTTTGAAAAAGGGAAAAATAGATGTTGGCTTTTAGGATAAAAGCTTTGAGAGAGAAAAGGTAGACTCTTATCCTCTGGTGAAATACAATCTTTTGAAAAACTTTTATTTGTGGCTAGCAATTTCAATTGCTAGAACTTTTGCAAAATAAAATGCAAGCAACATAAATTGCATGAAGGGACGATCAAGTAACTCTCTTTTTCATTTGACAGTACTTAACAACCGTCATTCCTTATGAGAAGAAAAATGGACCTCCATCTGTTGAAGATCTTCAAACATTAACTAAAAGTGAGCATATGAAGTTCCCCCTTGATGCTTTCCTCTTTGTATTTCCAACTGTGGTTGCTCAAAACCAATGAATTCATACAGTTATACTTTCCCCCTTACCCTATGGCATGTATGTAAGTTGCGTGATTTTTAACTGTGCATTTTGGCCAGTTTTTACTTTTTTTCTGGGCCTTTATGGTATGTTTGTTTTCTAGCTGTCCTCTGAAACCCTGAAGGCTAGAAACTTGCATGTATCAGAAAGCAAATGTACTCACATTACTTCAAGAGGAAAATACTGCATGGCATAGAATTTGGCAATACTGTCTCATAGTACCTGATCTACCCCTGCTTGTTTAAGCTTGCTGTGCTTTATTTACAAGTTCCAAGTCTTCTGTTTTGTGTTTGTCTGGTTTTTTTTTTTTATTCTAATTTGCATGAAAAATAAGGTTGTAATTTTAAAAAATTAATTATTAAGATTGTTAAATACAGCAGAGCATCTCTGGGAGTCAATGGCATCTGCTTTATTTAAGGTTTACAGGAACAGTTTAAAAATAGATGGTAGAGTACGTCAGTGTATTTGATCAGATCTCACTGCAGGGCTTTGGATCTAACTACGTCTTAAGGTACTTTGCAGCAGCAGAGGTTTGTGATTCCACAGGTGGCTGAGGGATGGTAAAAGGCTCGTGGGTTGTTTCCTGGAACTAAAAAATAAATACTGTACAAAATCTGGAGTACATAAAATGTTTTAAGCAGGAATTAAATTTCCTTTATTTTTCTCCAGTAGGCACCCGTAGCTGGTAATTCATACTTACTCTGTGGAAAAACAGATTTTTCATTTTGTAGTTACTCCTGCAGAGAAATTTTCTCCTTTTGCCATATTTAAATTTTACTTGAAAATATTCTCAAAAATTCAGTGTTAAGCAGAGAGAGGTTAAAGCCTCCTGAAAATGTTTTGTGGTGTTTGACAGTTTATTAACAAAATGTCTTGTACAAATGCACCATAAAGATTATTAACAGTATTGCCTCTGTGGGCGGATTGGAACTTGGTCCTGTGACTCAGTTGCAGATTTCTGATTTGCTGTCCCTCCTGATGTTAAGGCAGACAGTAAAACAGGTGTTTGGGGTTGTTAGGTTTTTTTTTTCTTTTGAACCTGCGTATTATTCGGTAGCTTACATAAAAATTGAAATAAAACACCTTTTGTACTTAAGTTCAGTCTTATATGAGTGGATTGGAGCTTATGATATACTGCTATTCAGTATAATTCTATACTTTTAATTATTTCAGTTGTGTCCAGAGCACTATATAAAGGATTGACATTGTTCTTATTTATGGAGTAACAAACAAGCTTATGTATGTCGAGCTACTCCAAATGGTTTTCCTTCAGAAATATGCAAGGATGAACAATTTTGACTTGACAGAAGTCACAAAAATTGGCATTTTGGCTTTATTCTAAGTTAATGCCATTTTCAGTCATGGATTTGAGATTTTTCTAAGCTGCAGTTGCTAACATTCACCATTTCAGGGGAAAAATCCCACCAGCACTTTCATTGGATCATTCACAGCACTGTTTCTCCAGAAAAGTGTCATTATTCCATGATTCAGGATGAAGACCAAAGAAATAAATTAAGTAGTGAGGCATACTTTTTTTTTACCCAAGATTTCTAACCCTCCAGCAGTTGTTAGCGTTATTTTAGTTTTGGATGTGATGACTTTCTTTTGGAGAGACTTTTTTATAGGGAAGGGGTGCTTTTTTTGTCGTTAGAACTGATGACATTTTACTGTAATAATTAACTACATAAAATGTTTCTCAATGTGTCTCAGGCATCTTTTCATATTCTAGTTGAGAGTTTTCTTACTAATGTGGTGGCACTATCCCTATGAGTAGTTAAAACAGCTTCATGGTGTTTATTTTGAGACTGTTGTCTTATGACTAAATATCTGCATTTTTTTTTTTCATACTTTAGTCCTGCATGCCATGAAAGAGGACAGTGAGAAAGTGCCAAGCTTGTTAACAGACTACATTTTAAAGGGTGAGTATGTTTCTTAGTCGGGATTTTTTTATTATAAATTAACTTGATGTATATCCAAGGTGTGTTTGAAAAGAGTAGTCCTACAGCATTCATGAATTATGTTGCCCTTCTATCAAACAGCTCTCATTTATATTCTCTTCTATTTTGTCCAAGGTTTCTGAGCATATAGTTCATAAAAAAAAAAGTGTTTATTTTGTTTGTGATAGTATAATATAACAAAGTATGTGGTGTATATTCGGATAGCTGAAGGACATCAGCAGGAGCAGAGCAGTCTATCTTATGAAGTTACATGTGTGTAGTTAAAAACTTGTGTGGCACAGGTTTTTCAGAATCTGAATTCAGACTGCCTATGGTAATAATGGATTTGCTAGATAAAGTGCTTTTAGCTTCTTTTTAAGTGTTACTTCTGACCAATGGTAAAAATTATTTATTTTACATTTACTTGTTACACCATCTTCACATTTGATTTAGAAGATCTGTGTACTAATGATTTACTTTCCAATCTTATACATCAATTGTATTAATAGAATGTCAGACATTGAAAATCACTGCTTGCCTTGGTTTTAAGGAGTTGCTCCAGGTAGTTTCCAGGTTGTTAAATTATGTTTAAATGGTTTTCTTTTGACTTCATTTTTGCCTAGGTCTTACTAATGCTTATGTTCTTACTTAATTTTTGATATATAAATGGCATCATAATATTCATTGTTTAAAGTTTAGCATATGCATCAAGCTCCCAAGATTTGAACAAACACATGCACAGAAGAATGATGGATGCCTTTTTATTTGCCACCCAAATGTATATTATGTTTACTGCATGCTCATATGCTGCAAAGTTTTTATCTTCTTTTTGTATCATACTTTCCAAGTCTCACTATTTTTTACAAATACAATCATTTGACTTAACTCTCTCCATACAATTTTTGAAGGTTTCTGTATTTCTTACACAGGCTTTAATCACTCTCATCTTGCAGAGATCTGAAAGTACTTGCGGGTTAAAGTTGTGGATGAAAGGTGTGCTCTTGCTTCAGAAAATCTGAAAGCAGAGCCATGCAATATTCTAGAGCTTTGACAGAGGCTCATTTCTAAGTTTCATGTAGGGTTGCAGAACTACCACATGGAATAAGAATGCAGAGATTCTTTCAGTTGACTCCATTGATTGCTCCATTGTTTACTTACCCTTTCTGAGAATCCTTCTTATATTAGACAGATGTATTTGCTTATGAGCCGAGAGCCATTTAGGCTGAAGATCAAGGGCTTTTTCGAATGGTGATGGCACTAAACATTCGTTTTGTGAAGAAGAATTTTCGACAAAAGAGGATGAACTGTTGTCAATAATTAAAGCTGTTTGCTTCTCATCATAATACATCTGGTAGAAACTGGTTGGAATGAATAATAATGCTCTTTATTCTTATTTTTATAAGAAAAAATAAGAATCTTCTCTTAAAAATAAGAGTCTTCTCTTATTTTTAGATTAGCTATACAGTAGGACTTTCAGATTACTAGGATACTGAGAAGAAACTGGCTGCTTAGGGATATGGAGAATTCTTCTGCATAGAAGGCTTATAAAAAGTAAATTAGTTGAACATATGACAGGATAATCTAGGAAATTTGATATGGAGGTTCCCTCCTTCCTTGTCCTCTGCGTGCTCATGGCTTTAATATCAGCAGGGGTGTTCTACTAGCTAGATGCGACAATTACAAAAACATCATGCCCACATTAAATGTGTTGGATCAAACAGGTCTTCATGTTAGAGGCACAGTTGCCTCTAAAGTGTAAAACACGAATGACTGGAGTATGAAGAGTAATCACTCACTCATATCACTTGTACTGAAAGAAAAAGGTGATTTCCCCTCAGCTGCCATGATTTCTTTACTGAACAGAACTTAGCTTTTCTTGCTCTTCTGTGAGTCTCTTTGCACAACAGCAAGCAGTTACAGGCTAGCAAGCATAGAATTTTACTCTTCCTTTCAATGTAGCCCTAACTAAGCTTCATATTGCTATGTTTAGATTATGTTAAATATTTATAGCTCAGCTGACAGTGTTACATTGTAATGTCAATTTATCCTGTGGAACAGGCAAAGTCTTCCATTTGTTTTTGAAGTTGTAATCTGTTTCGCTTTTTATTCTACCACTAAAACCTCTGGCCTGAAGTCTCAGTAAGGCTTCCTGCATGGCACAAAATATTCCCAGCTGGCTGTCTATTGTCTGAAAACTACTTTTAAAGCTTGCTAAAGGGAGATCAGATGGTTCTAAATAACCCCTTGAAGGCAACTTTCAGCTCAGCTTTTGTACCTGAAATTCCAACCTACTCTCTGAATTTCATAATTAAAGGAGCAACCTACTGTTTAGGGTCTGCTCTCTTCACTGACATTAAAAATGTCTTGGTAAAGTGAAAATGATTATGAGGATTTAGGAGTTTCAAATTTTTTTCAAAAAAAACCAGGAGGATAAGTAGTTCTGGACCCAGTAGTAATCATCGGTATGGTATAGTGATAGTTGTATTCATTTTACATTTGTTTAGTGTGTGGTCCAGCACTGTCTTACACTGAATAGATTCCATTTATTTTTATTAAACTTTATCAAGAAATGATGTTTTGAAATGTGTAAACTATATCACTTAAGATACTTGGTTCTGTTAAAATTAGTTAATTTCTTGTTCCTTTGAGGATCATTTTTTCCAATCTTGCAAATAGATGATAGCATGAAATTGATAAGCATTTGCAATTATGCTTACATTTTTCTGAATATATTTTAAATGTATTAATATTGTTATACTTTCTCACTAGGGAACACGGGTGTTGGTCTCTTTTCCCAAGTAATAGGCGATAGGACAACAGGTCCTCAAGTTGTCCAGGGGAGGTTTAGATTGGATATTAGGAAAAAATTCTTCACTGAAAGGGTTATCAAGCATTGGAATAGGCTGCTGGGGGAAGCAGTTGAGCCACCATCCCTGGAGGTGTTTATAGAAGCTGTGGCATAGGGACATAGTTAGTGGTAGACTAGTGTCAGGTGAACGGTTAAGCTCAAGGATCTTAAGGGTTTTTTCCAACCTAAATGATTCTGTAATTCTATGAAGTAGAAACTGAAATTTGGAGGAGGGCGGGGAATGCATTTGCTGCCAACGCTTTGAAATTCATGATCTTAAAAATCACACTTTTTGACTGATGCTGGCAGTTTAGTGAGTTCACTCTATTTAAATGTGTTTATGCTTATCTTTCTAGTGATCTTTTTTGATTATTTAACAAATACAATGTGCTTTGAAAACATTGTGTTTTTCCCTTTGAAAAACCTACAGAAGCAAGTAAGCAGCAAAGGTTCTGGTGCACGAGTTAAGCTATAAAGCAGGGAACACAGATGGAGATATTTTTGTCATATCTTGTGGTTGCATTGCTCTTAGGTTTTGCACCAAGAATAGGTACCATATCCTTAGATGAAAGCATGTTTGTATTGACTGTATCCATTGAATTTCTTTTTTTTTTTTTTACAGAAGCTTTCAGTCTTTCTTCTTGCATGTGTAATGTAATGACTTTCTGCATTGTGATTTATTTGCTAAGTACAGTAATGCAATAAGTAGTAGTATCTGTAATCCTTGAAGTACACAAGTTCAGGTTGCTTTCTGAAGAAGATGCCTTAGTGCAGTCACGTAGTCTGTCTCATTAACCTCACAAATACTAATTGCCAATTTCAACCCCACAAGACAGAAAGAAGGGTTGTGAGAATAACTGCACATCTCAAATACTGTAGGGAACTGCATCTAGGTAGAAGGACTGAAACCACTGTTTTTATTGAGCTAAAGGCTATTGGCTTTTAAAAGCTAACGTCTAGTTGGCCAGATAGCTTTTCTGTGTTCACGTACCAGTGAATACACTTACAATAGCTCCAGTCAGTTTGGGGGCATGAGGACAGACAGAGGAGCAATATGGGGAGGACCTGCTGTTGTGAAGCTCATAATAAATGTAAAATAGAAGCTGAGGAAGGCATGTTTGGAAGGGGAATTACATAGTTTTGTTGTTACAAGGATAAGGAAGAATATCTGAGGAAATCTGCTGGAAGCAAGGGTGCCTTAATGTAGCTACTTATAAAACAAATCAATGAGATATATGAAATGTTAGCCTGTAGATGTGCACAGAATCAAAACATTAGGGATGAGATGTCTGGTATCACATCTAGACACATTATTTCATTATTAGTTTTTACTTCCAGTTTTTAAAAAATTTGAAGATTTAACTTAATGCGCTGGTATAATTTTTGAATACAACATGCTACCAGTATGATACACAAACTGAATAAATCATTCTCTGTACCCCTGCAAGATTAATTGTTTTTTTCCCCTTAATTCCAAAACACATATAAGTGAAAATATTTGTGACATTCTTAAAACATAACTATAAATAACAATATATAAGTATGTATTTATAGCTAAAATAAATGCCTTTGAAATCAGATGAATCTTTACAGTAAACTAAGATGTATTTATTGCTAAGCTTTGTGTTCTTTTCTAATTGTCCTTAAATAGTAATTGTGACATAAAAATACACTGCTAGGAATAATATACATTACTACTGAGTAACATGCACGAAATATGTCTATTATTATTTTCTTTTAGGCTTTTTTCTGAAAGTAGATGTCATGAAAGCAGAATCATTTTCTATCTTTAGCTTGCTTTGCTGTGTCTTATCTGATCTTTCAATCTTCTAGTAATGGCTTTAAAAACCCAGAATTTTTGTTCTAATAAAGCAAGAATTTACTCGTTCTATTTTTAAATTATGCAAGTTATTTCAGATGACAACATTTATTTTCTTGCCTTTGAAGTTTTGACTTCTTTATTTGCTTTTGTGTTGTGCTAGCACTGGTTTGAAAGCTGGATTGCTCTGAGGTTTGTGTATTACATGTGAAACAGGAATGAGAAACATGTGAAGGACATGTCTTATCTTCCTACCCTGTGGTTCAAGTACACACACCAGAATGAGAAAGTAGAGTTAGAATCTGAAATTGTCAGTGCATATTTTAAAAATATAACTGCATGCGTCACCTTTTAATGTTTTGTTTTCTAATAGAACACTTCAAAACGCACTGTTTAAGACATGACCTTTAGTTAACTCATTTCTGGGTAATATTAGTTAAAGCTAGTGGGTTGTGTCAATTATCTTTTGAGAAGAGAATAATATCTTAATTGCCAGTTTCAATTGATTTCTAGATTTTAACTTGTTACTGATAGGGTAGAATTCAACATTTAAGTGCTTTAGTATACACAATGAATTCTTATACAGACTAACTTCAGTAATGTTTATCAAGATCTATTTGTGGTTCTTTTGCAGTTCTGTGTCCTACATGAAGAATGCTGCCTTTCGGAATTAACCATGCTCCTTCCTGTGATGAGGCGCTTTCTGTGGATATAACTCAGTATTTTTTCATTTGGCATTATACCTAAACCAGTATGCATTTGCTTCTTCTGTATGTGCGTGGATTTTCTGATCCTACAGTAAGTCATCTGGGCATGACAACTCATACATTTTAACTTAATAGTGCAATGAACTGGAGCAGGGAACAAACATTGTACAGTTTTATTCACATTGTTCTGGCTTTTTAAAGTCTATTTTTACATTGTATAGCATGTAGTAAATCCTCCCGCACATTTTGTTGTTGGAAGGAAAAGCAAACTTTGAATAGTGTAAATAAAATAAGCCTCGTTTTAAGGAATCCATATTTAAAAGCATCCTTAGTTCCTATAGCAAAGATGCAAAAAGGATCATAGTTGGGTCTTGGACTAAAAAATTGAAATGAGTTCTCCAGGAAGCACTCCAGAACAATGTTGATGGAAGTCAGCATTTGACACTTCTTTTACCACAGTAACTTTGATTGAACTATACAACAGTATTGTTCATACAGTTAACAGATCCAGATTCTTTGATGGTTTGGCATAAATAGTTGGTGTGTTAGCTATCCTTGTTATTTAACATAAACATCTCTGTAATGTAGTATTTCATATTTGTTTTTATTTTAATTATTAATGTTCATGTGGCTTAGATATTCTCCCATATTGCTGCTATAATTTTACTGTTTTTAATAAGTGGTTGATCTTAATGCTTCAATATATAAACATTTTAAAAGGCTATATCTTTTTAAAAATACATGTACAGTTTGAAAAACTTGCACCTGAGTTCCAAGTTAGTATTATATTGACATGTTTGTTGTTGTGTATCTCTAAATTTTACTACAAATCTCTTGTAAATTGTATGCACTCTCTCCTCTGTGATGTATCTGCACTCAAACAGAAGAGAATGTATTTTACAAACCTTGTAAAAAAAAAAAAACAAAAACAACAATATACCCCATAATCTCAACATTAAATGCTTGTCACAAATAATTTTGCCAGTCTTAAAGATTAGATTGAAATATAAGGAGTAGTAATAAAAAAGGAACTATTTTCTAGATTGAATTCTTTTTGATTCTACATCCAGATTTATATACCCTACATGTGAAGGCAGTGGAATATAAGGTTCAGAAGAGATAAACATATCTTTTCTTCAAACAGTTTTTTCCATTGTAAGCCTTCAGTCTTTTTGTTAATGGAAGAGAAATTTGCTCCTAAATACCTTGTGTCGTCTTTACCTACCATCGTCTTTAATACTCAATTTTATCATCATCATCAAATAATCATCTTGATTAGAAAAAAAATTAGTTTGAAAATAGCTCTCATAATGCTTTCTTTTTTTTTTTTCTTTTTTTGTAAAGGCCTCGATATTTTTGTCATTTGTGCCTTTTTCAATTCAGTAAGGTTTTCAGCTTAAAATTCTTTCCTCCTCCCTCTCCCACTTGACCACCAATGGATACTTGCCAGCCTGCTCAGGAATAAATGGATTCTCTGCATTAAGTGTGTCATATGCAACAAAATTTTTTTGTTGCTTTATTCTACTTCATTTGAGGTTTCTCTAACAAGAAAGCTGCCGTTTATTTCTTTAGCTGATGTGTTATGAACTCATTATGGCATGTTTGTTCTACAGACAAGCTTGATGCTGGCTGTTGATGCCTGGAAATTGGCAAAAAGGATGACTCTGCTTTGCTCCATTTAAAAAAAAAAAAACAACACATATGTTGTGAAACACACCACGGCTCCAAATGGAGACTCTATTCAGAGATATTTTAATCTTCTTTTGAGGCTTGAGGTGACAAGGTGGAACAAAATAAAAACAAGAAGAAAAAAACCAAAACGTTTTGATAAAGTTTGTGTTGTTAGCTGTAGCATATCTTGGATGACTTAAAGTTATGAAATGCTAAAGGTAGTAAAACTTGAACAAAATCCCAACACTAAAGACAAGAAACAGCTTTAGTGAGCTAAGCATCTCGCCCCTCATCAGACTAAACAAGATTTCATTATGAAAAGTACCTGTGTACCTTGTATGTAGAATCCTGGCATTAAACAACAGCTGCCAAAGGTGGCAAGTAATATATATATAACTACATATGTACATAAAAAAACAGATCTCAAAATATTTGAATAAAAAGAACCATGCAAATCTGCTTTTCTGCTGAGTTCTGTGTACTTCATAGTCTCTATTTTGCTTCCTTTTATCCTTTTTCCAGATGCATTATTGAATCTTGCATTCTTTCAAGGAGATGGATTTCATTATTCTTTTTAGTTTTAGCATGCGATAGCTGTAAATGGCCATGCAAGAACAGTAGCTGACAAATACCCTAGAAGAGATTTAGTAAAAATACATTTTTAGCAAAATCCATTCAATTTTTGATATAGAGACTTCTGGAAGCAAAGCGTCTTTAAAATGATTGAATTTTAAGTTACTTGAAGTGAAGTTATTTGTATCGTTTGCTTTAATAGCCTTTGTTTGTTTGTTTTCGATCTTTTTTTCCTAGTTTCAGCCATTTCATTTGATAAAAGCTTATTTGCTTGCTGGCTAGAGTCAAATTTTGAGTCAGATCCTGTCTGGACAGTATGTCAGAGGGAGTCAAGAGTCCTAGAATTATGCTTTCTTGGTTTGGGAAAGAAGCTTGTAAACAATGTCAGTTGCCTTCTGGTGAAAGTGATTTAGCTGAACTCTGAGCTGGGGAAGGTAATTGGCGATAAAGAACACCTGCTGTTGATTGTGCCAGGTAGTTGTAGCCTTTAACTGGGACTGGTGGCTGTATTGCAGATTTCCCATCATTGTTGCTTGCAGACTGGATTACTTTGGTATCCTTTCTGCAAGTGTGCCACTTGGCAGCTGCAGCTAGCCCAGAAATGCACTTTGTGAGCTTGGCAACGGTGCTGATAATCAAGTGTTTATCTCTGCACAGTGTCCTGAAGCTGTAGATGGTGCAGAGCCTGCGTAGCAGGACGGCTGCTTCTCCAGTGGTGGCAGCAGCAGCAGCTTGCTCCACTTAAAACAGCACCTACCTAATTCGGTTGGGGGAGGGCCTTAGAAATGCAAAGCTTTCTAGCTAAGCATTCTCGGCTCTGATGCCCCAAGTGTGAACTTACTGACTCATCTCATCGTTCTGCAAAGTGCATCTTTCTTTGGGGCCATGGGGGGCTGCATTGTAACAGTATCAGAATCCATATAAGTTTGGGATGATTTTGTGATTCAGATAGCAATCCTCATTTTTAGAACTTCTCATGAACTTCTAAGTTATCCCTGAATATATAGTCACTCAGAAACCATAAAAACTCTCTATGTGCTGAATGCTAATTTAATCTGAGCTCATAATTTTGTTGTTCATTTTCCAGCCTGTGTGTTTCTTTTGTGTTTGGATTTTATGTTAACTTTATGTACTAAATATTAATTTTAATTTTCTGTAGCATTGCATGCAAATTTATGAATTCTTGGAAACAACAACATGTTATAGCTTAGGCTGAATACAATGGGATGAAAAACTGAGCAAAGAAGGTAAAGTGTTTGAATTTTCTAGATCAGGAAAAATGTTTGGAGAATGCCCCAGTTTTTCAAAACTATGAAAAGCGAATTCTGGTTCTTGATCTGTTTATGTCGATATGCGATCCTGCACAGTTGTATGGCTTGGTGACATTCAAGGGACTGACCAGTTCACAGAAAACAATCCAGATTTCCCCACTGATTGCATTTTTGGCCTTCAGGAATATTCCATTGCCCAACTCAAACAAGCTGGCATATGGGAAGTCTCTCAAGTGGAATGGCAGCATTGCTGTTAAAATGTCAGTTCAGTTTTATCTGTAGACGGATCACTGACTGCTCCCAGGAGTGTTTCTCCTCCTCCTTGTATTGCCTTCACAGGAAAACTAATTGTGCAAAGTAAGCCCTGTGTAGATCACGCTGCTTATTTGCGTATTTTGGAGTCTGGGATTGGAAGATTCCTAAATTAGCATGGAATTCCCTCAAAACACCTTAGAGCTATTTCATCATGAAAAAACATCTTTGCAGTATTAGCTGCACTCAGTTTTTTTCCAACCTGAGAGATAGAAATTGTCCTTGAGATAGATTTGAAAAAGAGAAATGCAGAATCTCTGTCACTTCCCATTGCAGAAGTTGATAATGTCTGCTAGCGATAGCATGAGGATATTTGAGTAGAGAGCTGCTTCCTTCTACGTGCGTCTGGCATTGATGAATGGAGGGAACAGTCATATCAGCCTGATCTAAACCTCATTGTCACCAGAACCACTCAGCTTTTGCCTCACATTGAACGATTGCTTCCTGTAGGTGCATACTGGAGATCATAAAAGACTGAGCCCTAGAAGGCTTACCTTTGCATTCGATGCAGTGACTAATGCCCCTGAGAACTTTCTGGAGGCCAAAGCGCATTGTGGCACCGCCGTTGCCTCTTAGGTCGAGCGGCACAAGAGCAAGCTGTGCCACAGTACCTGCAGCTGGTGGTGAAGGAGGGTTTTGCAGAACCACTGCACTTTACAGTGGTGGCAGCTCCAGTAGGACAGGGCGCTTGCCATCTGTAAGATTTCTAAAGGGCATTTCAGCCACAAGAGATGAACAGGGAGGTCTTTTTTCCTCTTTCTGTAAACATTGCTTTTCCAGTGCCTCATTAAATTTTTGTACTGCTCAGAGCTGGCTTAAGAAATCAGAGTTAAGTATGACTTTGCTGGCTTAAAATGGTAAGTATTGAAATTTGGGGTAAAAATTGAGTAGAATCTTATAGTTTCCAGGATAATTTTAAGAGCTCTGTATCTAATCATGCATGTTTGGATTAGCAAACTATTAATGATCATTCTTTGTCATGTACTGTTTGACATAAGCAAATAGTGACATTTTGTTTTGAAATGTTGAAGAACAGCTTTGTTGGCTGCCTACAGACAATTCTGTACTCTTACCAATGGCTCCCAGAGCAAAGTTTACCAGTGTAGCCAGAATTTTTTTCAGAGAAAAGCTCAGAGTTCTGAAAAGCCTATTTAAATAAACAAGTGTATGAAGAACACAGAGTGGATTTCAATGGACTTTCCATTAGTATTATCCCTAAACAATTCACACACATATTTCAGTAGGTAAGAGCAGTACCAGGAACATGAAATGAGAACACACCATGCAGACCATACCTTCAGCATTCGCTTGTAGAAACTATTCCCTGGAACTGAGAAACAGCCCTCCTCTCACAGCTGAAAGCAATCACAGAGTTGAGATGCCACAAGGGTTGGAAGGTCAGGAGACAGCTGTGTTCTTTGCCACTATGGAAGAGCTCGGGAGCTCTGATCAGGAGATCCACTTCAGATGAATGAACCTCAGAAGGTAAGAGCAGATACTCGGTGTTACTGGCAAATAACCCTTGTTCCATGACTCTTTAAGAGGAACATGATGAGCCTTCTTGATCCTCCCCTTGCTACTCCAACCCAATGTTTTTGTTTTCCCCCTTTCCTAGCCTGGTGGCTCTGCATTTGTGTTACCAGCTCTAAACTCCTTCTCCCAAACCATGACAATACCCTGTGGAGCATAAGTAGTTAAAACTCCTATCTTTGAAGAGGAGATAGTCTGGAGGGAAGCGGGTTGGGGAAATTGTGTCAAAGTAAATAAGCATTTCAGAAACAGAGTGAGTATGCGTTGGGGGGTGTTGACAACACTGAGGGCAAACAAGGAGTTGCAGGAGTGGGCTGGCTGTGGTGGGCTCCAGCACAGAGAGCCACAGTCAGAGCCAGGGGCGGTTGCTGGGGCGGTGGGTGTGAGGCTGATGGACAGACACACGGTCTGGCTGCTGCGTGTTACTGAGCCCAGCGCGGGGAAGGGGCTGTTGAGAAGGAGCAGGTCTGGGTGGAAGAGAGGAGCTTGTCAGTGCATGACTCGGAAAGTAAGAGAGTGTTGGGAGACTGAAACTCCCATTCTGCCTGTGTTTTAAGTTGGTTTGTTTGTGGGGGCCGTTACGGTCTGGTTCTCAGTTAGCTGGGCATAGAGGGACTCTCTGGTTTATCTGCCTGCTCTGTGATTGTGTGCTAAAGGGAAAACAAAGCTGGCTGGCATGTGCATCCATGGGGCACAGTCCTGCTGTGGTCTGTAATGACTTCTCATCGTCCTTGTGCAGAGTTCACAGTTCGGAGATGATGCACATCATATCAACCTTCCTAGTGTCTACCTGTCCTTTAGGTTTTAACAATCTGGCTCAATGCCTGCTCTACTGAGGGCAGCACAGGTGAAGTTAGCAGGAGGTAAGTGATATTTCCTCTGCTGTGAATTGGAACTGGACCCCCACAGAACCTGGTATCTGCAGGGTGGAAGGGACTGTGCCCTCACTCTGAAATCGGAGCATTCACAATCTGGCATCAAAGGCAGGACTGGTATCGGTGACCTTGGTGCTTGTGAATTGCTCCCAGTGGTATCTAAGGGCTTGTATTATGAAGGAGAGGGAGGCCATCTAGTTGCAGGATGTACAGGAGTCCTGCAAAGGTTGTTAAATAGTGTTGTGAATCCTTCAGTGTGTTGTTTCATGGCTTCTGCAAAGGTTGTTAAATAGTGTTGTGAATCCGTCAGTGTGTTGTTTCATGGCTTCTTCAACAAGTGGATGCAATTTTGCCTGTGAGGAACACTTGAGAGTGGAGAGTGTCTTGCTAGAGAAGACTGTGGGTGACTAGGTGCAAAGTCTCTTGCACCTAGTCTCCACTCTGTCCCAGGGCCCGTTCCAAGGACACAGCACAGCCTACTGTAGGACACAATGGCCTTGCACAGGATACCAGCTAGTTTTCAGTCCCTGTGAAGTCTTTTGGTTCTCTAACAAGAATACAGCTCTGGAAATCTGGGTCTCAGTTGTGGCCACGTTTGTCAGGGCCTGTCAGGCCTCTTGAAGATCCTGCTTCTCTCTGTTACAGTCAGGTTTGGTGTCTCAGTCCAACATTATGTTTAGTCTTGGCCAAGGGTGAGATTTAAGTGCCACACCTCAACAGTTCTGGTCTTTTCTGCAAACTGTAGCTTCTCCAGGATTGCATGATCACCGGACTGTTTGAGGGGCTTCAAATTTTGTTCGGGCTGAGATCTCTTAAGCATTCAGTTTTTCTTTTTCTGGAATATCCAGCTCATCTGGAGTTAAAAAGCGTGTTACTGTCAGTCTGCAAGTTATCACATA